AAAGGCAGAGATTTTAAGCACCGCCTTCAAAAATACCTGGTCTGGGCACCCTGTCAATCAAGTGCATGAAGATCCATCATTGGATGCTGGAACTTGATCGACATATACTTACTGGTCTCTGTGTATACCCTATACATCTTGTTTGGGACTCGTGGGGACCTTCAAATTAACTCATGATCCTTTGATGTTTACTGAACATAGTATACAGAAACTGTATTACCATGAACATTTTTATATTGATAATATATGAAATAAATAATCCTTTAGTATTTGAAAGAGTTATAATATAATAAGCATTTAAAAAAAACTTTGGTACATAATTTTTTTTTCAAATGAAATTTCGATATTAATTTTAATATGCTAAATGGTAAACCTAAAGTGGAAATGTTATTGATTAAGTTCAGAGAAGTACTGTGTAAAGTAATTTTTAAATTTAAAAATAATGTTTCTAATCATAGGTCACTTAATATACTTTCCTTTTTTAATCATATAAGAATTTACAAGCAATCTTTTAGCAAGTTTCTTGGTGACAAAACTTTATTAAGGTTAGGATAAATCTAGATATTTTTATTTTAGTGAGATGTAGTTAACACAGCTCTCTTTTCATTTGATTCAAAGATGGGATCCTGGGGATGAATGAATTATTATAGTCTAATTTGGTTGTTTAAGGAGTTGCTTTTTTCCTTATTAATACATGCATTAACGTTTAAAACAATCTTTGTTTTAATATTTGAATTTATTGTATGATATCATTATAATCTTTTTAAATGGGTAGGTTTGTTTTCAAACAGTCAAAAATAAATCAATTTGAAAAAAAACAACTTTTTGCTACTACATGTAATTTTAAAATTCTCTCAAAATTACCAACACAGGTAAAGTTTGACACCTGGTATATTTCACTGTGTATTAAATCACTTCCTGTGTATAGGGGTTATGAGACAGATGACCACAGGTAGACTGCTAGCCCCCAAGGCTTTCACACCTGTACAAAATACTAGTAAGCCCCTCCCTCACCTGGAAAGATGTGCCATTGATATTTATTATCAGCATATTTCTAATCCTTTACTAAATGTGAATTGAAAAATGTAAAATGTTATTCAATTTCAAATGTTTAATTACAATTATGGCTTCATATTTAGACTTGTTATGGAGGTTTGTTCCCATCTTGCTTTAACTGTAAAATTTAGCATTCCCGTTTCGCCTTAGTAAGCTTTCAGGTGAATTAAGGCGAAGAAGATTTAAAATGTTTAGCATTAAGTATTTTTTAAAAAACTTGATATTACATGTATTATTTCATTCATTGTATTCATATTTTCCCATTAACTGTTAAATTCAATCTAAAATTTTTTATCATTTAAATTATAATAATATTTACAAATACTAAAATTCCCATTTCGCCTTATTACCATTTTCTTATCTGAATTTCACAGTTACGGCGAAATGGTGACACGCCGTTATGGAGACCCGGAGCACCGCAAAATTTTAATTAAAAAGTTATTTATCACTTCATAGATTTCATTTGTATTTCATATAATTCTGCGGAAATCTGGACGACTTTTACATTATGAGGTTGACAGAAGTTATTACGTCATACCTGCAAAATTTGAACGATCAAAGTTGTTAAATGGCTTCAGCAGTTAAAGTTAGAACATATTATGCCAGATCGGTATTGTTCAAGAGGTTCGTTTCCGGAAAAGGTGGGGCAGTGAGCAGTGGTAAAATTCTGCGTAGACATCGGGTAAACTCCTACAGAGACCAATACATTTGTAAACATCTGGGAAAAGAAGCCGTGCATTAGTATTTAAGTGGCATATAATATTTTCGGACGGAAGGAACAGTTTACAGGATGACATGCGTGAAGGAAAACCCATCATTCCGAGTTTGCAGTGCTGTGAAAATGAATTTCGTAACGTGATTTTTCCGTATTTCCGTAAATAAAATCGTTTTTTTACGCGGACAGAGGTTGGGTGATTGCAGGATATGAGATAAACATTGTTAAATATTATTTTACGTATGAAACCTGAACATTTTGTGCACATATTTATAACTGGTTAAAGCGACATAAGAAATGTATTGAGTTAGACGGCAACTATGTTTAGAAAAGTTACATGTGCTTGTATTTAGCTTTTGACGTTTTTGACGTCGGGTAACGTCAAGAATTTTCATTTTAGTGCACCGGGTATGAGTGTGTGTCTTTTTAATCTGATAAAATATAACTATTTGTGTGTTGTTTTGTTGAAAACTTGCATGTTAATAAAACAAAACATAAATCTATGGAAAATAATTGTTTCATATATTTTATCAATGTTTGTCAGTAATTATCAACGTTGTCCACGAACTTTACGGACAACCCTCGTACCTGTTTGCTGTGGAAAGGACAATGTATTGTAACGGCCGAAACTGGCCACTTATTTGATCTGAAATTCAGTCCAATCTTAAAATTGCGATAGCTTGTAGTTAAGAGACTTGTTTTAGAATCACACTGATTTTGATTCAAAGCATACACGGAGGCCACAAGAGCGAGTGGAAGTTTGGCATTTTCCCGTACTTCCTCATTTCGTCATACATGATATACTTTTCATTTTGGGAGACACTGAGCACAAGCTTGCCCACCTGAAATTTTTTACACAAGATATTAGTGTATGAAATATATAAATTTGGAAGATAAAGCAAGCTTGTGCTCAATCTTTTTTGAAACAAAATGTGCCATGAGATCGACGAAAATTTGTCTAACGGAAATTGACCTATTTTCCTATCTTTCTCTATACAATGTATCCCATAACGGAGAACCAATGTTCATTTTGTAACAGGGGTGACAAGTGGTTTTCAACTGATAAGCTGTTGCATCATTCTAAACAGCTAAAAGACACCCAAAACCAGACAAGAAAAAATGTCTTTGCCTATTTTGTCCTTCAGTAGTTTTTCAAATGTAATGCTCAAAAGTGATCCACTGAAAATAAATGTACATGTTGCCAAAACTTCTGGTCAAGCAGCTATGGTTCATTCATAAAATGTCCGAAATTTGGAAGAGTTCATGCGTATAATCCATAATTCTAAAAACCCTATTAAAAGTCCCTTCCAATTTACACATTTATATCAACGGTTTAAAGGCACATGTAGGTAATGAAATACATACTGACTAAGAGCTATGAACCAGGGATGGGGTCAATTACTTTAAAAAGTAATTAATCAAATTACAATTACTTTGACTTTTTCTTCAATTAAATTACAATTAAATTACAGGCTTCCTAAGACATGTAATTAATTAAATTACAATTACTTTACAAAAGTAATTAATTAAATTACAAATTACGTTTTCAATTTTTGAATTTTTTTTATAATCATATGAATATACAGGATCATTCACTTGTCTGTAAGCGCTGCCTCTGCACAAACAATACAAATAATATGCTAGTAGGCATAATGTATCTTTGTGGTTTAAATCATGACTTTTATTTACATGACAGTAAAGAACTATTCAAGATCAGTTTGATGCAATTGCCTCCACACAAAACCTACATGTACATAAATTGCTTGGGTTATGATATTTGATTAACAGGGTTTTCTTTAATAGAGTAAATTAAGTCGCAACTATTATATATAACCCCCTCACATTAAATATTTCTTTTAAAGGTAACCTTAACATCCTAAATTGCTACTTATGTTGAACATTTTTACTTCATATTTATATAATACTTGTACAAAATATTTTACTTCATATTCATATAATACTTGTACAAAATAAATCTTTTTCAGATACAAAATTCATTCATAAAATTCTGTTTAGATGTTAAAATAATTATCAAATTGAAAGTTTTTCTTTTCTCAAACTAGCGGAGAATTTTTAATTGAAATAATTATCCCCATGCATTGGCTTTTGTCATCATAATCATGTAATGAATATGTCTTAAGAGGGGTTGATTTAAATGTTTTGATTGCAATTTACAGCTGTGCTCTGTAGGGCAATTATCTCTTAATACCAATAAGAGAGAACTTCATTAATGACACACACATTCCTTTTCTTCTTTTTTCTTCTTGACACAGACATTCTTATTCTAGGTTGATCAAACAACAGAGATTGAAATATAATAAATTATGTGTGTTTCATAGCTGAATAGACCTAAGAATTGTGGTGCAAATTTAGATAAACATAAAACAAAAAAGTTCAAATTTCATATAATGATTAGAAAGAAACTACATTATAATTATAAAATAATCTGTCTTCTGTATAATTGAAGGACTGAGGATTTGTTTTGCAATAAAATAAAAGACAGTATAACGGGGAGGTCGTGGTGACAATGTATCATGAATGTGTATTATATAAAGTAATTGAATGTAATTGAAAAAGTAATTGAAATTACATGGTATTTTTTCAGTGTAATTAATTAAATTGCAATTACAAGTAATTGAAAAAAATGTTCAATTACAAATTACATCCAATTACTTCAAAAAATGTAATTAATTACAGTCAATTACAATTACTTTTTTCAATTACCCCATCCCTGCTATGAACAGGGTAGAAATTCGAGGCCATGATGGTTTTGTGTTTTAAATACATGTACCTTTATTTATTCGTCACTCTGTTCCACTTACCTTGGGATTATATGTATTTATGAATATTCCAATACACATGTTATTGGTTACGAAAATCAATTATTTCACAATTCTTATTGGAAGTTTCTGTGTTGAAAACATCGACTGCTTGTTCATTTAAAGATTACATGTACATGTATATACAGTATTAGAAATTTTCAATGTCGGTGAATGATATACCCCATAATTCTTTTAATGGATTGCAGAAAAGCGAGCTACTGCCTCCGGCCTATTCCAGTATCCGAGATGATACTCCGAGATTCTCAGGTTTTTCCTACCCTGGTGGATCTGGTATTGTTACAGCAGATCAAGTGCAGGAACTATGTAAGTAGCATTTTAAAGTGTTATCCATAAAAGAAGATGGGCGTATTTGGCGTGTGATCTGCAGGAATCCTTAATAGTTTAAACGTCCATGGTTTTGCTGGCTGACCATAGCTGGGTAGATTTTACAAACACAGCCATAGGAAATTTTACATATTTTTTTAAAATACCTTGTCAGATTTAAATGTTTATGTCTGTTTTTCTTAGGAAGTATAATAACATACATGTAATAAAAATACATGTAGTATTAGTGCTTCACCTAAAAACCCACCTTGATAGGATAGATAATTGGCATTGCTATCGCTCTTGGAGCGACTGAACCAAAATTTATTTATTTGAGTAAATCAGTACAAAAAATGAAACTGTCAAATGACCTTATTGTTTGCATAAATGAATACGCTCCTCTCTTCACCCACCACCCTTAAAAAAAATTATGTACATCCTTTGAAGGTCCACCTCCAACATATGAGTCCATCTTCACTCGAACGAACACGTATCCTCCCAGCTTAACACATCATCACAGGACAAAAGGACCCAATCCATACCTACAAGATGACAGAAATCTTTGGGAAAAACTTCATGAATGTTTTGAAATGTCCAGTAAGTATAAATACTATTGATTGTTTATATTTCATTGTGGCTCTGACTTTAACTTTATTTAGATAATTATTACTTGTTATTACCAACTAAAATTAATTTCCAGGAAATAAATGATTTTTTAAAATTGTTATTTCCTTCAGTTTTACAACAGATTATATGGCTGGTAGTTCTGGCTTTTTCTATAGCAGACATCTTTTTCGGTAAGTCAAATTTATTTGCAAGCATTAATATCTGTATATTGTATATGTATTACGAGTAAGGAACCTTGGATCCAAGCATTCCAAAATAGAAACATACATATACTGTATAGTATTTGTAATTTATGCAAAAGAAATGTTGAATATATTAATTAAGGGTATGGCAGCAATTTAAAATATGTTCCTATTTAATTTTTTTTTTCTTGTACAACAGATCAGGAACATCATTTTATAGAATCGGACTAGTGTTAAGAAGAAAAATGTAAAAGAAATCGAAATTAAACATCAACCAGTCTTTTATTTTTAATGGAAATTACTTTGTAGATTTGCACTTATTCCTACTACAGGACTGAGACAAAAAGAAATTTAATTTCTTTTAATTTCTTATTTTTATCTTCAGAATTTCTATCAAAAATGTATGGTAATCGAAACAGCAAGTTTTCATAAATTCCAATCTTGATTTGATTCCAAGTTTCAATGATTTATCACACTGATTAACTAGGACTAAAGCACAGTGGAGACTGTTACTGGAAAAAAATCAAAGACGGAAAAACTAAAGAGGAGGAGGATCTCACATACTTCATACAGGTCGAGGGGGGACTCCTGTGTGCCACCATCTTGTTTGTCTTTTTGTGGCGATTTTGTGAGCTGATGGACATTCGCAGCACCAAGCGTCATACAAGGGGTGATATTGAGGGAAAGAAAAAATGTTACGGTCATTTGTTTTTTGTCTGCCTGGCATTGTTTATTTCCAATTTCGCTGTGTGTATTGCAGGTACGTTATTTTTGTCTATTATTACTATCATTATTATAAATATTATGCAGAATTTGCTAATAAAGCTAATAAAGCAATCATTTCAAGTGAGCAAGCAAATATATAATGCATTTCTCTATACAGCATAAAGCGACATTTTCTTTTTTGTAGTATGTGTGTGAATAAAAGTACGTAATAAAACAGCACACATCTCATTTGATTTTAAAAAATCGTATGGATTAATATTTAATTCATTTATGTTTTTTATTTGTTTACAGGAGCAGGAAAAATTTTCAATTTTTATGACAGTAAAGAAATATCAAAAAATGAAAGTCTCACCATCAAGTGCGACACGGATTTCTACAGCTTTTATTATAATGGCAAAATAGGAGAGCTGGCTGTCTTAATGCCGTACGCTCTTTACATCTTGATTGCCTTGTGTTTTATACCAGAAAGTCAAAGTAAGTTATATCACCCCCCCCTCTAATATTATAAAGATAAAACCTCGCTATCTCTAATTCTCGCATATCTCCGAGTTTACATTGTCCACTTTGAGACAATTTGAATGTGCTTATTTTTTGAAACAATACAATACTTGTTGAAATTTGTCATGAGCTTTATATCTAATTAGGATATATATTCGGTTTAAATTAACCTGCTCTGTAACAATTTGAAAAGTTTCTGTTATAAAATAAATAACGTCTTTCATCTCAATGATATAGATTATCTTGATTAAGAACAGTTTTGTTTTCCTTTTAATTCACTCGATGCTAGGATTTCAATGTTGCTTTGGAAAAACAAAATTATAATGAATGCTTTACATAGACAAATCTTTTTTTAAAAAATTAAAATAGAAGTAGATATATCTATATATGAATCTTGGCATTTATTTATTTTAAACAATTTCTTTAAAAAGAAAATACAAGTGAAATTAATGCATTTTGATTTTTTTTTGTATATTTAGAGAGATGGTTCCTTCGACGTAAGCGGTGTCAATGGGTCAGGCTTCTTGACGCAGACCAAGATGGCGTCATCAGCGCTGATGACATGGAAAGGACTAACGCCAAGCTGGAACAGATTCGTAGACTTGTTGGTGCCAGAAATACTCCTTTGTCTGCTGAAGAACAAAAGAAATGGTGGGACGAACACGTTTTCAAGAGCGGTCCCGGAAAAAGCATTTCAATGAATGATTACATTAGTTGTTTGGAATCAAATTGTCCTGCAAAGGTCATCGCTACAGGGTTCTTCAACTTCTTCTCCACGGAGGCTTATCGGAAAAGAAATCTCATCATCACTGAAGAAGACTTTGTCAAGTTCTGGGCCATTCTTGCTGATGTCGACGAACGTCATTGCAGAGAAGTTTTTCTGAAGCATATACTGTAAACCAACTTTTATTCGCGTGCGAGAAATTTTCACGAAGTTCGCGAGAGTGTGGTAATCGCGAATATTTCTCGCCGCGAACAAGTCCTTAAAGTGTCTTAGTCTATTAACAACAGATCAAAAAAGGCTTGATCGCGAAAATTAATCGTCGCGAACAAGTTTAATCTCGAAGCATAAAGTAAAAATTGGTTTACCTTCACCGTTCACGATGGCTTATTTCTTGGAAGATTTTGAAGCTTTTCTTTCGCATAATGAATTTTGGAATGAATACGCCCACAGGGTATACTTTGTTCTGAAACATAAAGACGCGTGTGGATGTTGCAGACCGTAAAAATTAATATGAAGACAACTGGCACGGTCATGCAATTCTAATGGATGAATTGGGCAATATGGCCGATACATTAGATTAAGTTTAGTGTTATTACCTGCACCTAGACTGGGGATACATAGATAAAACTAAAACAAATATAAAAACAATTTGATTTGTTGAAAAGTGCAACTAGACCTAAAGCCAATAATGTTATAATTTATTTTGTTATATTACCAGTACAATCATCTATAATGAATGAAAACAGTATTAATAACGAACTAGCCATCGTTTCTGTGATAAATTTTGTTTATTTTGTATGAAAAGGTACAACAGTGTAATAATCATTATACTCAATTTAAAAGGTTCTTATAAATTATTGTATGGAATGATCTATGTAGTTTAAATGAATACAAGTAACCGTCTTACAGGTACAGCGTAAAACACTTCACAAAACTTCTAATAGAATAGTATGACATTTTCAAATTATAATAACAAATTGTTCTCAACAATTTTCGAAAGAAAATCAGATATTACCGATGAAAACCAATGTTCTGTACAACATGGTGGCAACATCAATCATCAAAATCATAAGCATAAAACTGACAATTATGTATCACAGTGCAGTCTACGTGCACGCCAAATTATATTATATTCAGACTAAACCTGTATTTAGAGTAGCATTTTGAAAGTATTTCACAAAAATTTTAATTTTTACTAACCTTGACAACACCGTTCATCGAAATAAAAAAAACAATACGTATAGAATTTTGTATCTTAGTGTAGCGGTAGTTTACTTGTGTGCCAAGTTACTAAGTATATTAAAATCAGACAAAAATTGTATTTGGAGGAGGATTTTGAAAGTATTTCACACAAATTTCTATTATTAGGAACCATGTCAAGCATTTTTAAGTATTACACAGAAATTTCTATTTTATAACCAAGGCAACACCGTTCATTAAAATCAAGTCAAGTTCTATTGCAATCAGACTTAAACTATAGGAGGAGCAGCAATTTTAAAGTATTTCACAGAAATTTCTATTTATAGTAACCACTGCAATACCATTCATCAAAAACCGATATATAGAATTATGTTGTCTATTTGTGTGCCAAGTTATATTGAAATCAGACCAAAACTATAGAAGTATTTTGAAAAAATGGACAGACGGACAGACAGACAGACTACGGACGTATTACTATCGCATAAGCTCTTCTGGTGTTTGACCAGTAAAGCTAAAAATGGCAAAACAGTAATATAATATGAAGTTTACAATATTATGAAACAATATTTAGTTTTGGATGTACCCGGTATAAGGGCCACTTTTTTATTTTCCACATGTTAATAAGCAAAATTCATTCTTTAACACAATTGATTGAATTTAATGCAATTAATTTACACATGAAGGATATCAGATCTGTTCCCAGGGCTAACCATTCAAAAAAGTTTATTTGTGAATTAAAAAAGCAAGAATTGATGCTCCCTGAAATTGTTTATTTATAGGGATGCAAAAAGGCAATTTTCATTTTTGTATTTCCATTATTGAACTCTTCAGAATGTGTTAAAAGGCGCATTTGGTCAAAGTCTGACATTTGACAGCATTGCGGATAATACAAAACATGCTAGTCTCAATCCAATTTTAAATGTTAAGTGCATTTGTCATTCTAACTAATAAATAAAAGAACTAAAAGACGTGTGTAAAAGAGCGAAAACCCCAACTTTATCGTCCATTAATAAAAAAAAAATCGATATTTCCGAGGTAGGTGTATTGTCTTTAAATGTACCATTAAATAAATAGATACATACGATTACCAATAGATGTTAATTAATATCCTTGTCATCTCTACTCTTGATTTAAATAAAGTCCACAACAATAAAATATTTATATATGCATTTTGTTAAGATATATTTTCATCAACATTCAACATGTTGTTTAATGTTTATATTAACATGGTCCCAGAAATCCCGCGAATATTTGTACATTCACCAACTTTTTCACAAAAGAGCGCACTAAGAACTATAACTCTTCAATATATGGAAATAATTTAAATTGATGCGTGATTTAATTTAATTTGAATTTCAGCTGTGGCTTATATCGCCAAATAAATATAAATAATTATAAAATAGAAGTATTTTGTTATCTTAAGTATAAAGGCCCAAGGTTAGGGCATCTTTTGATAATAAGCAATATTCATTCTTTAACCTGTAAACATGACACTTTAATACATTATAATTTACACATGAAGGATATCAGATCCTCAGTCCGGAAGAATAACTCAAAAAGTCTTCGTAATGTATGAAAAATATTCAAAATTTTAGTAACATTCTGATTTCTAAACCATTTTCATGTTTAGAACTTTTAAAAAAATTAAAAAACTTTAACATTTGAAATTGGAAAATTATTTTTCTTGCTTAAAGGATTATATAAGAAACAACTAAAACCTGGTATCTGCAGAAAAACCTATATATACCATAATTTTTTGTGAGTAAACATGTTTAAGTAGCTATACTTCATTGACAAACTCTTAGAAAAATTTATCTTTTTTCAAGGAACGTCTCGTCTGTCCTTAAATGTAAATTTTATGAACATGAGGATCGAGCTAGCTTAATATTTGTAATCCACACAATTATAATTCAGCACCCTGATAATATACAATAATACGCTTTAAACCCAATATATCAAAAATTTAAATTGTCGTGATTTAATTTAATTTGAATTTCTGCTTTGGTTATATGTTACAAAATACATTATAAAAGCTATTTATGTAAAATTATAAAATATTTGTCTTGTGTTTAAATACTTTTATTTTATATAATATTTTCTAGTGGGTGAGAGTGCACTTCAATATAGGAACCATAGTTTTCAATCACTATAGAAATAATGTTCACGTTTGAAATAAAGAATTCAAAATAGATTTAATTATTGATTTGAAATACACTCTCACCCACTATTGAAATAATTCTTTCAATAGTGGTTGAAACCTATGGTCATTATTGAAATGCACTCTTACCCACTATTGATATAATTATTTCAGTAGTGGCCGTATTTCAATAGTGGTTACCAACTATGTTTGTTAATGAAATGCACTCTCAACCACTATTGATATAATTATTTCAATAGTGATTTCATTGATATTGTTTGTAATTAAAATGCACTCTCAACCACTATTGATATAATTATTTCAATAGTGGTCGTATTTCAATGGTGGTAGTTTTTGCTTTTTCTGTCCCATCGATTATGAGATAACAATATTTAACTTATTTTATGCAATACTTAATGAATTTCAAATGAGCTTTTTATTAAAAAAAGAAAAAGAAAGAAAGAATAACCATTAATCTTTTGGTACAAGCAATTTCATTTCCGGTATAATCATATGAATATTGCCCTAAATCTTGATGACATGGTAATATTAGTTTTATTTACCTGAACAATTTTATTTTCTTTTTGAAATCACTCAATACAATTGCCTTAAGTATTGTTTTGAAAGAAAAGTATGTAATGGATGTAAAGTATGTAATGTTTTAGAGAAAACTTTCTTAAGTCGTAAACATGAACTTTGTAAACATATGAATAATAACAAACGAAGAAAGAAAGATGCAAGCCAAAAGTATATCTTATTATATCTTTAAACAGAGGGGTGGTTCGTACGTCGTAAATGGCGTCAATGGGTCAGGCTTCTTGACGCAGACCAAGATGGCGTCATCAGCGCTGATGACATGGAAAGGACTAACGCCGAGCTGGAACAGATTCGTAGACTTGTTGGTGCCAGAAATACTCCTTTGTCTGCTGTAGAACAAAAGAAATGGTGGGACAAACACGTTTTCAAGGGCGGACCTGGAAAAAGCATATCGATGTCTGATTACCTCAGTTGTTTTGAATCAAAATGTCCTGCAGAGGAAATCATTACGGGGTTTTTCAACTTCTTCTCAACAGAGGATTATCATCAGCGAGGAGGACTTCGTCAAATTCTGGGTCATTCTTGCTGGAGTCTACGAACGTCATTGCAGAGAAGTCTTTTTTAAAGATATACCTTCACCATTGACGATGGCTTATTTCATGAAGGACTTTGTGGCTTTTCTTTCAAATTGGGAATTTTTTTAAAGAATGCGCCTGCAGAGTATTTAACGTTCTGAAATACAAAGACCCTTGCAGATGCTGAGGGTGTAAAAATTATGAATGCTGGTGTGTTGTTGACAGCGACATGAGAAAAGTAGAGGCATTCAACAACAACTATATCTTCGAAAAATCCACCGTATCTTCTGGCTAAACAAGATCTCTAACAGAGACCTGCACAAGAAAAGCTTAAGCAGGGGTATAACAACAGAAATCAAGCAAAGAAAAATGAGATGGCTGGGACACGTGATGAGAATGCCCCAGAGCAGGATATACCACGAACAACTTGTAGAAGAACCATAACATCAGAGTTAGAGGAAATGGGCTACTCGTGGGGACAGGCACAGTATGTGGCAAAGGATAGAGGAAGATGGAGACAGCTTGTTGAAGCCTCATGTCCCATAGGGGACGAAGAGGATATGTAAGTAAGTAAGTTACATCACACTGTGCAAAATTACGCACTTTGAAATTTTTTTTCAAACTGCGTTAAATTTGGGACCGAATTAAAGCACTTTGAAAAAATAAAATATCATTTCAAAGTGCGTTAATATCGACCATATTAACGCATTTTGAAAAAATGTGTA